CATTTAGATGTTGGTCTCAAATAATTATTGATGTTCATTTTAAGCACTTGAGCTTCATTATTTATACAAACTAAAATTTTGCTATGTGTTTCTATGGATGGGTATCTTTTGCTTTTTGAATTTTCAGTCTTTCTTTTTTTCCTCTTGTGGACTGTTGCTGTGTAGTTTTTTTTCCCCTGCCCCTGTAATTATCCCATAGAAAAGGCTACATGCTACTTAGTGTGAAGTTGGTCCAGTAGCAATTCCCTTCCCTGGGGCTCTGTATGCTCTTGCCTATTGAGCTGAGTGTGGTGGGAATAGGGGCATAGAGTAGGAGGCTGCTCCCTGAATCTACAGCCCTATACAAAGAAATTGCAGATTCAGCTTTCATTTGGGTTTAAGATAGGAACTTGAAAGGAAGACTGGCACACTTAAAGAGCTACATTGCCACTTTACCTGTAGCTGTGAGTATCCATTGTAGTGAAAGGGATCAGTCAGATACTGGGTAAAAGGAGGCAACTCTTTTTCTTTACATGCCTGTACTCCTACTCTCAGGTTGGAAAACACAGTGCTAAATATTCTTAGGAGCAACCCTGCATCCAATAGGTCAAATCTATTACATATACCTATTACATGTATGTTGCACAACAAATTCATAACAAAGTCAGTGAGAGTTCCATGGTTGAGATGTTCAGAGTTTTACATGATTGGGCCCTGATCCTGCAAAATCAGGCATGTGTTTATGCATATGACTAGTCTTAGTGGAAATGGTAAGAGACACATTAATCATAAGAATTTGAGGGATCAAGACCTGTGTCACTTATTTTGTGAAAAAGAAAAAATATTTTAAATCCACACCTTTGTAATGTTGATACAACTACCAGAAATTTCTCTCTCTCTCTCTCTCTCTATATATATATATACACACATTTCAAAAAAAGAATACTTGAAATGTTTATATTCTGAAATAAAATAATAAGTATAGTGAAAATAAACAGACCCCGTACTTTAATTGCAAGTCCAGACAAATCCGCATTGTCAGGTACTGGTGGCAGATCCAACCTAATGTCCATATCATATGTACGGCTATGGACAAGAGCACCAAAGAGTGAGACACGTGTTTCTTTTTCAAACTTGTCACCAACAGGGTAGTTCTGTGAAAATAATCCAATGGCAGGAAGTCCAGTGCCAGGTGCAGCCTCCATTATCTGAAGTGTCTTTTGAATTGTATCATTAAACTGATATTCTTCATTTGTAATTAAAGACTGTATATCAGCTTCAAATACACTCACATCATAATAATCATATCCCTGATATTTAACATTTCTCCCAACATACTTGTTGTTCAGAAAATAGTCCTTTTTTTGTGGTAGAAGCTGAGGGGGACCAGTTCCTACAAGTTGTACAAGAAGATCCAGAACAGAATTTACTTCAGTAAATGGTAAACAATTAGATGTTTCCAATTCCTCCACAAGTTTCTCCAGCCTATCTGCTTGAGCACCCATTCCACCAACCCTCAAATTGAAGGACAGCATTAAAATTTTGTTTTTCACTGGAAGTCTGGAAATGTTTGACTGTACTTTACGGGTCTCATCCTGAAAAAGGTTCATGAACAGGGCATTATATGCAATCTTTTTTAGATTTTGCTTAGCCCTTTTCTTGCTGATCTTCTGTGCGCCTAGATGGACCTTCCATGACAAACCTGTCATGTGTGCTTCACACAAGTCACCAAACAGCTGTGTAATGCTCTCCATTTCAACACAAATGAGTGGTGCTGCAGTAAAGTCAATTTATTGCATATACAACTTTATTTTTGGTCTTTGATTCCATTTCAAGGCCTGGAACATACAAAGGGGGAAAAAGACATTAGTAACTAACTACACAAGTAGAACCTCAGTAAGTATGTGTTCATAAACTTTAAATTTAAAATACAGTTACTGTAACACATACAGTGTTACATACACAAACTAATCAAAGTACTACTTCATAAACTGTTTCATATACAAGAACACCTACCTACTGCTTAACTGTTTTAACCATTTATATAAGCAACTGCTGCCTGACCTGCTGCAACAGGTATGAGGTCCTACCACTGGTTTCACTATGGCCAGGGGGTTCCACCTCCTGGCTTGATGATGGCCCCTCCAGAGCTGGCTCAGCATGGTGCGGTTGGTTGCCACTAGAGTTCACTGGCAAGGGCTGGTTAACCAGTAAGCAATCCACTAAGCCTCATGCTTGCCATTTAACATCCCCGTAAACACCCTAATTTGGATCTCACACCTTTCACCAAGGTTAGCCCCTGGTGGACCACCAGACACTATTTACTTGCATGTCCAAAGATTAGGGCCACTTACAGTGCCCACTGTTTGGAAATGACAGTCCGTGGTCAATGGGAGCTGTGGGAAGAGGTGTCTTGGTCTATACTGCTTCTGGCAATTCCCATTGTACGGGAACGGCAATCTGAAGCCAATGGGAGCTGCAAGCAGCCATACTTGCAGATGCACAAGTAAATAAAGCATTGGCAGCCCCCCCAGGGGCTATCCCTAATGAACAGCTTGCAGCCTGTGGGCCACTTATTAACCACTCCTGTTTTACACATAGAGAAAAAGCCCTGCCATGGTACATGAACAAATCCAGGTCATCACATGAAGAGAGTGTTTCTCTGTCAAGCACTAGCACCTCCCAGTGTCTTGTCAATACTAACCTGTCAGGAAAGACCCCCCCCCCTAACAACTTGATTAACAAAGGTAACTTTCAGCAGCAAGCTCAGCTCCATTTACAGTGTCAAAAAGGTGTGAGCGCAAAATTATTCCAGCCACGGTCACAGTTTGAGAGCTAGTGTAGACAGAGCTGGGGCGATTGTACCAGTCGCTAAAAGCAGGAGCAGACCACACAACCGTAAGAACAGCAGCGCCCAGCCCAGCCCGTCTCCGCGGCCACCACCCGAAGATGTGCAGCCCCCCCCAACAGTGACTGTGAGTCGAGCCAGACCACGCTCCCCCCGTGACTGGCCCCCTCCCCCAACGGGGGCAGGCCCCACCCTGCAACACCCGAGGCAGCCCGCAGCTCCCCGCGCGTGACGCCCCCGCCGCAGCCCTTACCCCGCGCTCAGCAGCCCCAGGCGCCTCTCAGGGCCGCGACAGCAGCGACCGCCGCGCGTCCCGCTCTCCGGCTCCGGCAAGAGCGCGGCGGCGCCGCCCTCGGGACGTCACGGGAGAGCGACGGGCCCGGCAGCCGGGAGGGGGAGAGCGGGGCAGGGTCGCGGTTGCGGGCGGCGCTCGGCTCCCTTCGCGGGTGCACGGGGGCGCCGGAGGAGGGGGGCAGGGGCTCGCCTTGCTGCCTAGCGCTGGAAATTGTGGGGCGGCTGCGAAGGGCGGGGCGGCTTGCGCGGGAGCAGATAGGGAGCTGCAGGCGCAGTAGATACACGGGCGGCGCCAGCACAGGGCGCCTGCCTGCAGCGTGCCCGCCAGCGCCTCTCCAGCCTCCCCCAGCTAGCTGCCCAGGGCTGTAGGGCCCAGTGACTCGGGGGGGGGGCTGGTTGTAGGGTTGCCAACAACGGTCTAATCCCACAAACCCAAACACCCTGCCCCTGCCCCCTTTCCTGTGAGGGGCCATTTACTCCGCCCGTCCCTTCATTTCTCGTTTCGCCCCCCTCACCAGGCCACGGGAAAAGGTTGCAGTATGAAGGGGCTCTGAGCTGAAGCCCGGGGGCTCGCAGTGCGGGAAGGAGAGCTGGGCTGAAGCCTGGGGTAGCGGGTTAGGGTGCAGGAGATGAGGGTCTGGGTTCAGGGCTGGAGAAGGGGTTTCAGGTGTGAGGTACTCGCCCGTCCCTTCATTTCTCGTTTCGCCCCCCTCACCAGGCCACGGGAAAAGGTTGCAGTATGAAGGGGCTCTGAGCTGAAGCCCGGGGGCTCGCAGTGCGGGAAGGAGAGCTGGGCTGAAGCCTGGGGTAGCGGGTTAGGGTGCAGGAGATGAGGGTCTGGGTTCAGGGCTGGAGAAGGGGTTTCAGGTGTGAGGTACTGGCTGAATCAGGAGGTTGTGGCGTTGAGGGGATTTGGGGGGCAGGAAGGGGGTTGGGGTGCTGGAAGTAGTGAAGGGTGCAGGTTCTGGCCAGGGGGGGGGGGGGGCAGGTGGCACCATGCACTGCCCTCAACTACTAGTGGCTGTGGTTCCCAGCTAATAGCTGCAGAATTGGCACTTGGAGTGGGAACATCATGCAGATGCACCCCTGGCATGCAAAGGTTCTGAGAGCAGAGCAGGCAGGGAGTCTGGCTCAGCCCCTTCTCTTCGTCACACACCCCTGGACTTCTGGTGCCCTGAAATCTTTCAGTCTGGCTTCAGTAGCCTCTGAGAGAGAGGCCCACTTCTGAGAGACCCCAAATGAAATTGGGCAGAGTGGAGGACAGGGAGTTGCCACTGCCTCTTTCCTCTGGAGCCATTCCGGAGTGCTGGCTCCAACAGCACCTGCTGCTCTTCTGTCCTCCCTAGGAAGCAGAGGCCAATTACTGCAGATAACTAGACGTTTAACAGGACTTGCTGGTTGTAAACTGGACACCTGGTAACCCTATTCTGGCATGGCAGTGGGGAGCACAGGCCATTGGCTGCACAGATCACTCTGCTGCACCCCCCCTCCACTCCACCCCACACACACCAAGGGACAGGCATGTTCCAGAAACACCCCAGGATCCTGTCCCTCAGCACCAGGTGACAGGTCAGGCCAGCAGGATCCAGGTGTAGGGTAACAAGGTTGTGTGGGGGATCCAGGTGCAAGGGGTAGTTGGTTGTTGTGGGGTTCTGCAAAAGGTGCAGATGAAGGTGGTTGGAGCTCATCCGGAGTCTCTGTATGTTGTTTTGGCTCACCTTATTGATAATTTTATATCAATACCGTAAATTGGATTTTCCTTTCAAACTAAAGTAGGTGTTTTATTTTTAGTTTGATTGCTATTATTGCATTACACTTTTTAGCATTTACACTTCCAATATATTTTTGTGTAGACCAAGTTATAGTAAAGAATGCCACTGGAAGACAGTTAATGTACAGAAATAAACAATTTTTATTGTAATAGTTGGCTAATACATATCAACCTTTAAAAACAATCTTTTGAATTTATATGCAAAGTAATCCTACTGAAAAAATCGTACTTGAAAATATTCCATTTAGTTTGATAAAGAGCTCAAATTAAAATAATTTAAAATACAAAAATCTTTGTGTCATTCTAGCATTGACTACAGAATATTACAATTTAATGAAGGCAGGTTGGAAGTATAACTTCAACAAAATGTTTTTGCCATCAGAAAATGCTGACCATGTAAAACATTTTGCAAGGAGATGGTTGGTTTAGACAAATTTACCATTTTTGGGGAAAAAATGAAATTAGTTTTGAAATTTGAAACTATTTAATTTTTCAATTAAAATAACTTTTTGTTTAGAAATTTAAGTTTCTGTATAGTTTTAAAAAGTCAAAATAAAAAGTAAATGTTTCAGTTGACCTGGTATGAATTTTTTGGTTCATGAGAATCAGATTTTGAATTTTCATCCCAATTTGGGACAGTAAAAGTTTTCAAAATCTCAAAAGCTCTCACAGTATGGAAAACTGCTTCCTTCTGACCTCCAGTCAAAATTCAGTATGAGCTACAGAAGCCAAAATAGGACTAGTTATATGGTGACCCATATTAATAGAACATTACTACAATTTAAAGTTGTGATATTCAGATTGTTTTGACGTAAGTACTGTTACATGTTGTGTTCCCACATGGGCCCCAATCTTGCAATCTATATACTTAATTTTAAGCATATGAGTAGTTGTTTTAGGTAGAATTTTCAAAAGCAGCTAAATCAAAGAGAAGCCTAAGCAACTTATGAGTAGGGCTACTCATAAATTTTCAGTAAAGGATGAGTCACGAGACCAAACCATTTTGTTAAATGTGTTGCATATTTGGCAAAACTTCAATAAAACACAATTAGAGCCTCGGGCTCTAAGGCTCCCTTCTCCATAGCAGGGAGCACGCTAACCCTGGGAGTCTGGCTGGGGCTGAGGCTTTCAGAGCTGGCTAGTCTCTTCCTTCTGTGGCTCAGCTCTTGATAACCTTATTTTTGACTTGAGCAAGTTAAACATGGATGAAAGTTCACATATAAAATATCTACCATGTATTTCAATCCAAGTGACAGGAATAGACTTCGTAGAGATAAGTAAAAAAAGGCACTGCTTTATATTTTGGGATCTGGAATTAATACCCTGAGCTCATTTTGTTAGATGCATTAGTTTTACGCTGACAACTGAGCTATGTCACCACATAAACGTAGCTATTTTTATACATTTTCAAATGTTCACCTTGTTCATTGTGCTTAATCATGATAAAATATTAATATTCCTATATGTAGAAAACATACAATCTCTCCATTGCTTGGAAGATTAAAATAGTTCTTAGTAAAGCGCTTTATTTTTAAAACTGATATTTATTCTTTTAATTACTTCTTTTTTTATCATTTACAGACCCTACTAATTTCCAATCTTAATTGGGAGAGTGAAGAATGAAAAACAAAGTTCCTGTTAACAAACTACTTTTAAAATTATGAATATTTCAGTATGAGCTAGATACCACAAATTTACAGCATTCAACCATTGGAATTCATATAGAAAGATGCTGGGTATGGCAAGAGAATTAATATGGTAAATGCTATCCCGGATAGAACATGCATTTAAAAGCAGCAAAATCATTTGATAGGGAGTTACATGTAAATGCAGGTTTTGCATGAATAACTTCATACATGCACAATTTGCAGACTCACAGCAAGAGCTCTCAGCTAAAAATGTGGCCTTTTTAAACAAAAATATTTAATAAAAAGTCATAACACAATTGTAAATGGCTGTGGCCATAGTATGATAATCTCTTCGTTTACTGATTTAAAAGAAAACCAAAAGTGACAATTTTTTTCTTTCTGTTATGACGAAATGTGTCAAATGATAGAGCTAGTCAAGTGACTTCAGTTTCCAACAATCTAGTCTCTTACTACAAAGAAAAAAATCAGCACAATTATTAGTCAAGCTACACAACAGAATCCCAAAAATACATTTCTACTGAAGCTGCTTAAATAATCTTCCACAAACAGCTGCAGGGTGGTGGTTGTTTGTTTGGAGGGGTTTTTTTGGGCAGGGGGAGAAAGGCGGTCGCAGTGGTGTTTGCATCCCCATGTTTAATTTTGTTTGCCTAAACTTGCTCCCTTTCCCCTCTCTTCTAAAACATTGAAGAGATCAAATCGCTAATCTCAGCCAGTTTACTGCATAAAGCAAGATTGTTCAATAGGAAAAGGACGTTTACATACCCTCTCTGTTTGGGAAGCAATTTTTATCTCATAGTATGTTCACTTTATCCAGTAAAGATACTTCCCCAATACTACCTCTATTTAGCACTTTATATGATACCTAAGATCCATCCCACCAATTCATACCAATATCTTAACTTGCTGTCCTCTACCTTATCTCTGGTTTACCATATTCCAGGTACCAAGAGGTGGGAAGGCACTGCTTGTACCAGGACAAGATATTAATATATCTTGCTTTTGGCAGGTTTTATATTGTCAAAAGCTACATTTCACTTCGTAGACTATTCTGGGATCTCTCTGTCTTGGCATAAATAAGCAAAGTGTTAATCAACCCACTTGCTAGCTTTAACACCATAGCCAATAAATGTATGTTTGGCATCAGGAGGCATTCTGGATCCTGGTGCTTGAAGCATATTTCCCTGCTCAAGACAGAGTCCTGTTCCAGCACAAGCCCTGATTTTTCAAATACTTATATATGTGCTTAATTTTAAGCACATCACTATGCTCTGTGAAGGTCAATGGAACTATTCATGTGAGACTAGGTAAACTGGTGAATAAATGGTAGTCTCTGAACCACATTCTGAAAAAGGTTAATAAATGCAAAGCCTATATGTCTCTTAATTATTCCCTGAATATAAAATACAGGACTATGTAGCACTTTAAAGACTAACAAGATGGTTTATTAGATGATGAGCTTTCGTGGGCCAGACCCACTTCCTCAGATCAAATAGTGGAAGAAAATAGTCACAACCATATATACCAAAGGATACAATTAAAAAAAAATGAACACATATGAAATGGACAAATCACATTTCAGAACATTTCAGAACAGAAGCTGTTCTGAAATGTGATTTGTCCTTTTCATATGTGTTCATTTTTTTAAATTGTATCCTTTGGTATATATGGTTGTGACTATTTTCTTCCACTATTTGATCTGAGGAAGTGGGTCTGGCCCACGAAAGCTCATCATCTAATAAACCATCTTGTTAGTCTTTAAAGTGCTACATAGTCCTGTATTTTGTTTCAGCTACACCAGACTAACACGGCTACATTTCTATCCCTGAATATACAATCTTTTGGTACAAAAACTATTTTTCAATGTGAGTGCTTAATATTAAGCACTTGAAATGGCTGTATTCCATGTTCTGTATAACCACTGTATTATTGAATTTAGCACTTTCTTACTTCAATGATGGGAGCACTAGGGAAACATCTCACCAGGCATTTAAGGGTTTGATCCTACTCCCATTCAAATATATGGAAAATCTCCCATTGACTTTAATGGCACACAATTTAACCCGTGGGAAATTTATAGCCTTTTCAGAAATATGCCCTCAGTACTAAGAAGTGGAACTACAAACAGATTACTTACCTGAACACTGGAGCATTTTCCATTCCTGTTTAAATTGGTGTCTCAATCGTTTTATTTCAAGTACATTTTCTTGGGAAGCAGGTGCATAGACTCCAAAGTCAGGTATAGAAACACCAGTCAAAGTTGTAGCCACACTTCGTACTAGTTTTATTTCTATGTCCTATTTTTTAAAAAATGTGGTGAAGCAGACTTTGTGTTAGTTCAACAGCAGAATGCAACATTTTAATTTATTGTAATGAAGCTGACAGTATCAATCATAATAAGTAACTTTCAGTTTTCAAATCTGAAAGTGCTACCAGTGGAGAAGTTGCTTCAGAAGTAGATAACTAAGGAATCTGTACTGTGAACTATAAAACCAATTTGTCTCAAATACAAATTACTTCTCAATTACTCTTTTATGAGAAGAGAAATAACAGAACAAAAGATGGAAAAACAGAAGAAAATAGGACTTATTTACTTGCTGTATTTTCCACCACAAACAATGATTCATTTTGCTTTGACCAGCAATGATATTATAAACAACTTCTAGAATCTTTTAACAGTTTAATTCAATGTTTTAATGTCAACAAATGCTTTTTTCTGTGGTCATTGTGATTCATGAAGAAGAACATGCCCAAATGTTACTAAATTTCACTGAAAAGGAATAACATGGATTTTACTTCTTCAAAGAAATCAAGTACACTATATAAAATGTCCATGTTTTTATCATAGGAGCTCCCTGCTAAGTGTTCATATAAACCTGTTTCAGTCTTTCATTAGAGGCTCATGTGCCCATTCAAGCTCATCTTTCATCTCTTTTAGCCTATCCTTCAGACTCCCAAGAATTCTTCCCAGCTGCAGGCTCCTAATTAGTGTACACAAATAAACTAATTTTTCGGTATACAGATTATGATAAATATCATAGCACAGGAAATTCAAAGAAAATTCTAGAGAAATGTAGAATAATGTATGGTAAGATCACTTAATGGGCAACTTAAAAATAACATGTCCCTGACAGGAGCAGTTTTCAGGAAAGAGATTCTGTTTAATGTATTTCATTACATTAAAACAATTTATACGTGGTATATTTATCCCACAGAAATACTTGTTAGTAACTTTGTAAATGGGTTCACGGTAACTTACATAGTCCACTTTTTCCTTTTGTTCACTTTGCTTCTTTCCTGCTATATAATTCTGCTACTACTTTGTACTTATAATAGCACCTTTCATGCAACTATCTTAAAAAAAGTTAAGGTGTGTAACACCCTTGTGGTAAGTAAAGCAGCATTACTGCAGTTTTACACATCTGAAATCGAATAAGAGCCAAATCTGTAAAGGTATCTGGATGCTTAGAGACCAGGTGCCTAGTGAGCTTTTCAAGATTAGCCCCCAATGATTTCAATGTACAGGTGATTTTGAAAATTCCTGTAGGTACTTATCTGTACCTGTAGGTATCAAAACACTTTTACAAATCTGAAATGTAGTGACTCTGACTATGTTATACATGCAATCTTACTATTACATAGGCTTCTTTTAAATAATTTTTTAATATTGCAGTGTTTTTATTTGTTATTTTAAGGTGAATTAGCCAAATAAAATTGAGTATCTCCCAGCACAATGTATTCTGGTAAGGCCAATAGCCTGGTGCTACTTCTACTCAAGACAATGATGCTTAAATAGAATAACAAGTAGTCACATGGAACCTTAGAGCAGGGGTGGATCCATACATATACAGCCTGCCAAGACTTCTGATCTGGCCTGTGGCCCACCGTGCTAGACCCCAAGGGAGGCTCTCTGCTTGATACAACCCAAAGCTATTCAAATGGCTGGCAGCTTCCTCTAGGTGCCGCGTGTCCTTGGTGGGGGTGCCTGTGCCTACTGCCCAATCACACACCCCATAAGAAAATGCAGCCCTTGACCATTTACCAAAATCGTGGAGTGGCCCCCCATGAAAAATTATTGTCCACCCCTGCCTCAGAAACTAACAAAAGTATAAAGAATCATGAGCTTTCTTGGGCAATTTTACTATGTATATTTGTTAGTATCTAATGTGCTATAAGACTACTCATTTTTAAAGTTATAGACTAAGATGGCTACACCTCTGAGACTTTTTAAATATAATAGTTGCTCTCTGTTAGCTAAAAGAATTTTAGGTAATCAAGATTAATGCTTACCTGAATTACCACAAGAATTCGGGATTCAGCTAATCCTTGCAGTAAACTAGTAAGCAGAGAAATCCCATTTACACCAAGGCTCCTGTTTGGTCCAATGACTATTATCATTAAATCAGGTTGATAGTTATATGCTATAGGAAGAATGAATCCAAGTACAGCATAAAAGAAATTGTTTCTTTCTGTATCCTTTAACAAGAAACAGAAAACAGTTTAAAATTGACGTGAAACTCCAAAATCCCTGTATGCACATGTCTATAATGGGCAGTTTTCAGGGATTTTATTAAAATAAATAACCAAGGAAATAAAGGGAAAGTACTAGAAAAAAATTCTAGAATAGATGGTTATTGGAAACAGGATACATGTCTGATCCCATGTAGTGTTATTTTCATTAATGAATCATTCATTGTGTTAATTACACAGCATGCATTATTCACCTCCCCTTTCATTTCAATACCACCCCTCCAAGACCTAGTGTCAGAGGCCATTATAACCTTCTTCAAGATGTCACAAGTTTGGTCCCTAAGAAGCACTGTACATAAATGGAGACGAATAAAATATAAAAGGAAGATTTTCAAAGGCCCAAGGGCAGTTAGACGCCTAAATTACATTTTTCCCACAATTTCATTAGGAAAAACTTGATTCAAATTGATAATCTTAGACATTACTGTCTGTTTTATAAACTAGTAAATATATTTTATTCTATCCTAACTTAATTACAAAGAAAAAGATGCCTTTTCTTATTTAGTCCCCAGAATTTTTTAATATACCTCTTTCCAGTTCAGAGAAATACGGTATTTGGAGTTGGTCTTTTCAGTTTGTTGTTTCTGGCAAATGTTCATGAAAAGAATTTTTCTGTAAAAAAAAATTATATTTTACTCTTTCATCAACAACTTTAAATGAGATAAATAAAGTTACTAAAATTAGTGAAAATGGATATTAAAATCATTCTTTGGATGATATTTATGGTCCCTTATACAAGTTTTATGTCAAATTTATATCAGCGGGAAACACTTCTGAATTATTATAGTAACTAATTTAAATTTTTAAAAGCAATATTCAGAAAGTAAAATCCAGTTAATACTAAAATCTCAAAGTAAATTTCTGTATTAAAAAGTTTTTAAGAAAATAATGCTTGTCTCTTTCAGCGTAAAGAGAAGCTGAAGAAATAGGATATTGATATATAAAGTTGGCCTTCAATAAAGAGTCATCCATTTGACTCTCTCTCCTATCGTATGATTTGCAAAGCACATTTTCATAATATGCAATAAAGAAAAAACTACTTTCACAGTAGCAAAACTGGGAGACTATGCCAGGCTGGGGAAGATGCTTAAGAAAACAGGAATGGAAGAACTTCCTTGAGAGGAAATTCAAAGGCTACGTCTTCACTGTGAGTTCTTCCTGCGAGTTCTTCTGGCAGAAAATATGCTAATTAGAGACTCATTAGCATAAGTTGTGACATCATTAGTATATTTTCTGCCATTTCTTTTTGCACAAGGGGTTTTTGTGCAAAAAGAAGCAGCATGGACTTTTTTGGAGGGGCGCAAAAACCCCGAACAGGCATAAGGATCTTGCGCAAAACAGGGCTTTTGCGCAAAAAAAAGTCCACACTGCTTCTTTTTGCACAAAAACCCCTTGTGCAAAAAGAAATGGCAGAAAATATACTAATGATATCACAACTTATGCTAATGAGTCCTAATTAGCATATTTTCTGCCAGAAGAACTCCCCGTGAAGACAAAGCCAAAGAGATTAGTTTGTTTACCCTAACTAAAAGAAGGGAGAGGAGAACAGGGTCAAATTGACTGCCATATTTGGGGTCGTGAAGGAATTTTCCCCAGTCAGATTGGCAGAGATCCTGCCAGGGTTGTGCATTCCTCTGCAGCGTGGGGGGTGGGTCACTTGCAAGTTTAAACTACTGTAAGTGGTGAATTCTCTATAACTTGAAGTCTTTACACCCTGATTTGAGGATTTCAGTAACGCAGCCAGAAGTTAGGGATCTTTTACGAAGGTGGTGAGGTTCTGTGTCCTACAATGTGCAGGAGATCAGATTACATGATCACAATGGTCCCTTCTGATCTTAAAGTCTATGGCTGTGTCTAGACTGGCCAGTTTTTCCAGAAAATCAGCGACTTTTCCGGAAAAACTTCTCAGCTGTCTACACTGGCCACTTGAATTTCCGCAAAAGCACTGATGATCTCATGTAAGATTGTCAGTGTTTTTGCGGAAATACTATGCTGCTCCCATTCGGGCAAAAGTCCTTTTGCGCAAAACTTTTGCGCAAAAGGTCCAGTGTAGACAGCTCAGATTTGTTTTCCGCAAAAAAGCCCCGATCGCGAAAATGGCAATCGGGGCTTTTTTGCAGAAAAGCACGTCTAGACTGGCACGGACACTTTTCCGCAAAAAGTACTTTTGCAGAAAAGTGTCCATGCCAATCTAGATGCTCTGTTCCGAAAATGCTTTTAACGGAAAACTTTTCTGTTAAAAGCATTTCCGGAAAACCATGCCAGTCTAGACACAGCCTATGAGTCTAATGCAAAAATTGGCTCGCCCCTGAAACCTCTACATAACATTATTATTATATATTAGCAACCCATTTTACTAGGTGCTGTCCAAACACAGTATGCCTATCTATATCTGTACAAATTACAAGAAACTTGCCTTCCATGTTAGGTTCTAATGCTTATGCATTTTGTATTTTCAGTCCTGGGCTAATAATGCAATTTTATTATGGCTCCAAATGCAACAATTGCAGAATTCCCCCAAGACTAACATTTTGGAATAAACTGTGTCTTTCAGGCATAGCTCTCTAATGAGCGTATGTAACCATATTAGCCCAAATCCTCGAAAATATTTAGGCTCCTAGACTCCACTAAAATCAACTGAATGTCAACCACTGATTTCAGTGGAAGTTTGAAGGCTAAATATCTTGGAGAATTCGAGCCATTGCTTCATTTGGATTCCCAACAAAAAAACCTACCACCCATGGTAAAATCCACAGGAAGTGACTCGGATAGAGGAAATCTTGTGTCTCCCATGACCCCCATGGATCCTGGGGGAACACTGGTAGACTGGGTCCAGCAGCAGGAAAGTTTTGTGACTCTACAGCAGCTTCGTGCTCCTGGTGACTTCCCATTCCCCATGGCTGACTAAAGAAACTCCTCAAAGAGGGGTCCTATCCATAGAGAGGCCCCCAGGGAAAAAGATAATAAAGGCATTTTGTAGATAAACTGCACAGCTGGGTGAGAAATGATGTATGCATGCCCACTCTTTGCTATCTGGCCAGTTCTGCTTCTCTCTCTTATGCATCTCTAGAGAACAGCAGAGAACCCACTGAGTTTAAGGCTTTAGATGAGCATGTGCAAGACTACCCCTGCTAACCCTTTTACATCATGCATCATACAGTTCCTAAGTATCGTACCAGTTCTGTTGGTTTTTCAAGAGGGCATGACCATGGCTCTGACCCTTTGTTGAAACCAGTTTCACTGTAGCTTTAGCTTGGAGCTGGCATTACTTCAGACAAGTACTGAGAATGTATCTAACGCCTGTAGAGGGCACAAGAGTGTGAATGCAGAAGGTATTGTGTGTCCTCCCCCATCACATTCACCTGTGCTGGGCTCTTAATCACAGATGTTTCATTGAAGTCAGTAACAACAATACATTTTTATCTCCTATCATACATTGTTTTTTTTAAGATCTTTTAAAAAATAGCTTGTCATCTCAATCTAAATTTTCAATAATGTTGACAAATATTATACTTCAAATCTAAAGCAGAACCTCTTACAAGGCAACCTTCTGTCTTTAGAGATCATCCCAAAATATCCCTAATCATACTGGCTACGTCTACATTGGCACCCCTTTCCAGAAAAGGGACGCTAATGAGACGAGTCGGAATTGCAAATCCGCGGGGGATTTAAATATCTTTCAAGTAGGAATGAGAAATCCTCCGGAAAAGGGCTTATTTTCCGGAGAATTGCGTCTAGACTGGCACTTTTCTCTGGCTTATCCCCAAGCCAGAAAAAAGTGGCAGCCATGTAAATGCAAATGCCGCGGGGGATATTTAAATCCCCCGCAGATTTGCAATTCCGACTCGTCTCATTAGCATCCCTTTTCCGGAAAGGGGTGCCAATGTAGACGTAGCCACTGAGTACAATTCTGGCCAAGCTTTCTTAGGTGATCAACTCTATTAAACAATGTTTACTGGCAACTTGGGTAGTCATTTAATGCAGGTTTCCTCAGACATGTACACCTAGAATCATTTATAAGTGATCCTCTGAGATTTAACCATCTGAAATGAATGGAGAATCTTACCCATCATCTAAGCTGAGTTCAAGATCCATGTCTCCAACAATTATGCAGAGCACTCTACAGAACACAAAGAATAACCATGAATGTGTGTGTGTACACGTACACACACACACACACAAACACCTACCTTAAATTGATGTTTCTAACTTTTTAAAACATGCAATACAGTTAAGTGATCAGTACAAGAGAAAATCTTAAAAATGTGGCCATTTGGCTATGGGGTTTTCATGTGTGGAAGAGAATTCAATCCCAGAAAAAAATGATTGTGGGACTGCTCTGAGTTTGATTTAATAGCAATATACAAATAGTGGGATAGTATTCAGGTTCATGGCAGTTCAGGCCAAAAACCAAAGAAAACAACAGGCTGATAATGGGATTTAGGCAGTCAAAAAAAAAGTTAAACCTTTTTAAGGCAACCCATTCTGTTTATGAATTTATATCACATTTTCAGATTGTATAAAAGAGGACATTATGCAACGAGCATAGTTCACCTTTGTAATCCAAAATCAAAGCAGTGCTTTAGTGCAATGGTAGTAGAAACAGAAGCCACAGATGCGTCTACAATTCCATTGCACACCTAAAAATAAACATTTGTATTAATAAATCATAATAATTCTACATCATACTATACTTAAATTCGTATCAGTTGAGCCTGTTTTTGTCTAAATGAGATACTTTGTCTCTGTGTCTGTTTGTTCAATAACTCCTCCTTAAACGGTAAGAGCTAGCACCACCACATTTGGCATATGGCTTCCTCTTATTATAACTTAAAGCAAGGTAAAGATGTGCCTGGAATGGGATTGCTTCTCAGAAAACTATACAGAAAAGAGACAGACTCAACAGGCAAATGAAAGGAGCTGGCTGGAGAGGGTGGGGCGGGGGTACATCCCCACCTCATCTGGGACAGTCCCAGTTCCAAGCCTCCTATCCCCCAGGCACACTTTAGGGAGGGAGAGAGGAGCTGAAGCTTCCGTCCTCGCCCCCCACTCCAAATTCATACAGGAGCAATTCTAGTTGTTTCCCCTTGCTCTCTGAGGAAGGGTAAGTGCTCAGTTTGCTGAACTCCTAATTCTAGTTTGGGAGCACATGTAGCAGACAAATCTGGCCTGCCCCAACCAGGGGACATGCATCCCTACCCCAGCTGTGTCCACTGGAGCTGCAGCAGCCATGACAAGGTAGTTCTCACCTAGGCCCAAGATGCTGCAGTAAGGGTATGTCTACACTACCTCGCTAGTTCGAACTAGCGGGGTAATGTAGGCATACCCTTACTGCAGCATCTTGGACTTGTGAAATCAAAAAATGCATTTTTTGATTTCACAAGTCCAAGATGCTGCAGTAAGGGTATGTCTACACTACCTCGCTAGTTCGAACTAGCGGGGTAATGTAGGCATACCCTTACTGCAGCATCTTGGACTTGTGAAATCAAAAAATGCATTTTTTGATTTCACAAGTCCAAGATGCTGCAGTAAGGGTATGTCTACACTACCTCGCTAGTTCGAACTAGCGGGGTAATGTAGGCATACCCTTACTGCAGCATCTTGGACTTGTGAAATCAAAAAATGCATTTTTTGATTTCACAAGTCCAAGATGCTGCAGTAAGGGTATGTCTACACTACCTCGCTAGTTCGAACTAGCGAGGTAGTGTAGACATACCCTAAGAGTTTAGTATTCCTCTCTCTCAATGGTAGCCTGCATACTGAACCCATTATCCTCAGCCTCAACCCAAAGCAATTATATAAATAAAGCATATACATTTTCATTTTATTTTCCAAAAAGCAAAAATGAAATGAATTAAGGACCCGAGCAATGCTGGATAAATGTTGCGGTACTCTATATAAATGCAAACAAAGCTACAGCTGCGTGAAAAGAGCATTAGCTATATAGCCTAACAAATTTGGTAAAAGTCTTCATGGCTCACTACCTGCAAAGAGAATGTTTGGTTGTTATACTACATAGCTGCTCTCAAATGGCACAATGGGGTTCCATGGTTATTGTGTCTCAATGACTTACAGATCAACTCTGCTCAGTTTACAAGTAGGCAAAGTTCAGGAAGAACAAACACTGGTCTGGGAATCAGGCTGCCCTGAGTTCTGTAATCACTGTGATCCTAGCCAAGTCACTTCCCCTTCCTGTCTCCCTATCTGTACAACACATACCTACTTGCAAGGATTAGTTAGTTAATGTCTAGGTCAACTGCAGTGGGGGGGGATGATAATGGATAGGCTCCCCTCCTGGCCCACAGGATTCTTGGGCCAGATTGCATAACTGCTCCAGCTAGAGGTGGCCTGCGGGCCAGTTTGAGACCCCTGTTTTCAACAAAACAAAGAGGATTATTGCTTCACATAGAGACAAGTTTGGTTCTGAGTAAACTGTTATTCAGACACCGATATCAACAGAAATAATCATAAAGGGCTAAACTGCGGATTTAGCATGCAAGCCACAATAAGGGATGATATGCAACTGCACTGCCCTAATGGTATATCCAAAAGGGAAAATTACTCCCAACATGCACTGGGAAAGGAATAATTTGTGACACTCCTTTATGGGGTGCAATTATACTTTCGTTTGCATAGTCATGGCTCTAATTCCCCCCTGCCCAGTTTTGCATGAAGCATCTACTGCACAGCCCTCTGCACTCCCTTAAGAGCCAAAGCTAATGATCTGGGTAGGCCTAATGCACTAGGGGGATTTTTACTTCCTCCTCTGTCACCTTTACTCTAGTAAGTAGGCACAATTTTAACACAGATACAATCTGATGGAGACTAGCAGAGTAGGAAAAGATATATTTGAGCTAACAATGAAGAAGAATCAAAGAGCAGAAGAAACACGGGAAATAATCAAGGCAGTTTTCATTACCTCCTTCTTTAGTATTTTATCTAGGACAGCCACCACATTCTGAAGAGAGAGCAAAGCTTTCTCTTCCTTCACAAGCTCTGCATCAAATCCACTGTAAAATAAGATTTTTAAATTAATTAAAAATTAATCTAACAATTTGTTAGATTCTGAATAGTACACTTATAGGGTGATTTTCAGTGGCAATGTTAATTAGTAAGGGCTTCTAAAGTATTATGTAGATGTTGAACATTTGTCCTCAAAGAACTAGAGGTGATCAGAGGACGACTGTTCTATTTCATGAGAATTTTTAAGGTCCTGAGCTTTATTTTCACTCCACAAAATCCTTTGGGACACTTTCCAAAGCAGAACTGTGTCAAAATAGGTGTTTTTTTGATTAAAAAAACTCAAGATTTTTAATTCAGGCCTTCCTCTCTCTGGTTAGAAATGACAAGAGCGCCCTGGCCCGCAGAAAACTTTCTACTGAAAACTTCATTGAAATTTGTATATTTCTACAAAAGGTTTTAGCTTAAAAAACAGCACTAAATTTGATTAAATTACATTTAGTGACAAGCACTACAAAGAGATTTGTTGACACAGGAGGTAAATATCATGTATCCCACTTTGCAGATGGAGAAACTCAGGCAGAAGAAAAGTGAGGCCGAGGCAAAAGAGAAAGTTAGTATCTAAGAACTAGGATTACAAGATGAGAGTCACTGGTTTCCCGTCTTGTGTCCAAATCACTATACCACGCTCTCTCCTCAAGATTAAAGTTGATAGCCACATACATAATGCCGACCTGACAAGAGTTTTCCGTTCTTGTGCACTCATTTCCATCTCCACTTGAACAGATAATGGTAGAAAATGTGCATCAGCTTTAGAGACAATTGATGCTGCTGTTTTAACAGGAGGCACTGGAAAGAGAATTCTTTTCATATGTGATTCCAAAAACTTGTCTGTTTTGATGGCTTCATCACGATTAGTGTTCCCAACTGCTTGCTCTGCTGTGGGATGTGTACTAGTTTGAGTTAGCTGAGCCTCCATCACCTGTTGTGATTTGGTACTGAGATCTTTTAAAGGAGCTGTTTCTAGAAAAAAAATGCATTTTTTGATTTCACAAGTATCATAAAACACAAGTGTGATTCCTGGGCACTAAAAATGTTACATATTAATGTGTAATTGTATTTATTTACCATAACAGGTTGCATTTGCCTGGCTGGTACAAACAGAGCCATCCCAGCCATAGGACAGCTTGGGGCAACCGCCCTGGGTCCCACACTTTAAGAGGCCCCACCAAGCCCAGGTGACCTAGGAAGCAGCAGAAGTCAGGTCCATCCCCAAACTCACCAGTGGGAAGTGGGGCAACCTGGCTCCAGCCTGCTCTGCTCCCCTGGCGTTGCTCAGGGGAGGGATGGGACTCCCCTACAGTCACTGGTGGTGGGAAGTGGAGCAATGCAGCAGGTAGCCAAAAGATCAGGGCAGAGCGGCTTAAGGCCCCATCATTTCCCTCCAGCCCCCTCCCCTGAGTGACATGGCCTGGGGCATTAGTAGGGGGCATGATGCCAGCAGCACAGTTCTGGCCCATCCCCACACCACCACCGGTGGCAGTGAGAAGCAGACTGAACAGGCCCTAGACCACTCCCACTATATTTTCCCCTGTTCTTCTCCTCTCGTCCCTCTGTAAATAAGTATCTCCCTTTGTTAGGTTTCTTATACTTTTCTGGTGCGGTCTCTGGGGGATTTGGAACAGGTGACCCTGGGGTGAAAGGGACTTTCCCTGATGCATTCCAGTGCACACCTTCTCCTGGCCAGAGCTGCCTGTGAAGCAGACTCCATCTTGGTCACGAGGATGCTGAAGTTACACCTGGAACCCATAAGAGGCGAGGCAATTCTTCATTTAATCCTAAGCAGAGCAAAGTATCTGGTCCAAAAAGTGAATATAGCTGAACCACTTGGTTATAGCAGCCATAATATAATATAATTAACATCTTTGCAGGTGGGTGGAAATACTAAAGAATCCCATCACAGTATCATTAACTTCAGAAAAGGGAACTACACAAAAATGAGTAAATTAAAAGGAACAGTCACAATAGAGAAATGCCTGCAAGCTACATGGAAACTTTTAAAAACAAATAAAGGGTCAAATTAAATGCATACCCCAAATAAAAAAAATAGTAAGAGAAACAAAAAATGCCACCCTGGCTAAAAAACAGAGCAAAAGCAGTAAGAGGTAAAAAAAATCCTTTAAATATTGGAAGTCAAATCCTATTGAGGAAAATAAAAGCAGCATAAACTCTGGTAAGTGAACCACACCAGGAAGAGAGGGCCACTGCAAAAAAGCAAAATTAAGTTTTTGAATTGATCTTCACTACACACAATATGAGTAAGATTCCTGCACCTGAGCCTTTTAGGTGACAAATCTGAGGAACTATCCAAGACTGAGGTGTCAATAGAGGAAGTTTTGGAACAAATTGATAAATGGAAACAGTAATAAGTCATCAGGAGCAAATGGTATTCACTCGAGTTGTGAAGGAACTTATATATGAAATTGCAGAACTACTAACTATGATACATAACCTATCATTTGAATCAATTTCTGTACCAGATGACTGAAGGATAGATAATGTGACAACAATTTTTAGTAAGGGCTCCAGAGATGATCCTGGCAATTATAGGCTGGTAAGTTTATCTTCAATGCCAGCCAAACCAGTTTTAGTATGATAAGTTATGAGAGTAAAAAACAAATAATCAGACACGTAGATTAACATAATATGTGGAACAGGAATTAAAGGGAATCATGCCTCACCAATCTATTAATATTTTTTGAGGAGGTCATCAAACATGCACAAGTATGATCCAGTGGATATAGAGGACGTGGACATTCAAAAAGGCATTTTTGAGAAGGTCATTCACCAAAGGCTCTTCAGCAAACTACACTGTCATGGGATAAAAGGGAAGGTCCTGTCGTGTATCAGTAACTAGTTAAAAGTCAGGAAACAAAGGATAGGAATAAATGGTCAGTTTTAAGAATGGAAAGAGGCAAATAGCAGAATCCTCCTGGAATCTGTAGTGTGACTTATTCATAAATGTTCATCATATTCATAAGTGATTTGGAAAAAGGGCTAAACAGTGAGGTAACACAGTGAGCAGATGATACAAAATTACTCAAGATAGTTAAGGCCAAAGATGATTGTGAAGAGTTACAAAGAGATCTCAAAAACTGGGTGACTGGATAACAAAATGGCAGATGAAATTCAAAGCTGTTCAATGCAAAGTAGTATACTTTGGAAAACACAATCCTGATGATACATATAAAATGATGGGGTCTAAATTAGCAGCTACCACTCAAGAAAGACGATGATGACTCTTGGATCTTGGGAATGTGCAGTGGCAGTCAAAAAGCTAGTTAGGAAACATTAGGAAAGATATAGCTAAAATGACATTAAATATCATAATCCCATTACATAAATCCATGGTACACCCCTAGCTTGTGTACTACATGCAGTTCTGGTCACCCCACCTCAAAAAAAGATACATTAGCAATGGAATAAGAGCAACAAAAGTGATTAGGGGAACAGAACAGTTTTCATATGAAGAGAGGGATTAAAAAGACTAGTACTGTTCAGCTTGGAAAAGAGATGACTAGGGAAGGATGTGGTAGAGGACTATAAAATCATGAATGGTGTAGAGAAAGTGAGCAAGGGAGTATTGTTTATCCCTTCATATAACACAAGAACAAAGGATCACTCAATGAAAGTAATGGCATCAGACTTAAAACAAACAAATGAAAATACTTTTTCACAAAACACGCAGTCAATCTGTGAACCGGGAGACTGTAAAGGCCAAAATGATAACAGAGTTCAAAAAATAATTATATGAGTTCATGGTCCATTAATGGCTATTAGCCACAATGGTCAAGGATGCAACTCCATGCTCAGGGCTTCTATAATCCTCTGACATCCAGATGCTGAGACAGGAAAGCAAAGAATGGACCACTTGATAATTGCCCTGTTCTGTTAATTCCTTCTAAGCATCTGGCACTGGGCACTGATGGAAGATAAGATACGGGGCTAGACAGACCATTGGTTTCACCCACTACGGCTGTTCTTATATTCTTATGAGCTATGCTAATTTACGCTAGCAGAGGATTTGGCTCTGAATAATGAAGTGCCACACAATGCTCCTGTGAAATAGATAAGTTATGTGAACCTATTGATGCTAATTATCAACTTTTTCTAGAGTTCAAGTATGTACCATATTGATTGAGCACATTAGCAAAAGGAAACAGAACAGCAATTACCTTCATACATCAAACATTTCCAGTATGGTTTATGTGCAGCTCTCACATTTTGTATAGACTCAATAGCACTACAAAAGATAAGTGATTAGCATCATCAGTTCAGATGAAAATATAGGAAAGTTTACTTGCCAAGTTCAACATAAAGACTCCATTTCTGAAGTCTGGGCTAGAAAAACCAAAAAGAAGGACATGTTACTTGTAAGTAACATTACTTTCAACTGTCAGCCACAGAAAATGAAAGGAAATGTTTAGTATTACAGTCCTGTACTGGCTATTGACTGGTTACAGAGCTTGCTTGTGAGCAAGTAACACACCAAATGTGTTCACCAAATGATCATGCAGCTATGGTTGAGGTTAGTTTGTATAAGGTCTTTCGTACACAGGGCCGCCTAGTGGCTGAAGAATATACAGTTTAAAGTTCCATTACATGTAGTGTGAACATATTTCTTTCATTACCTTAGAAGCAAGGGTGTCTGGTATGTAAGGCAGGGGAAGGCTCTGCTTTCCCAAACCACCACCCAAGCCCTGCCCACATTCCACCCCCAGAATGCCTGTGGTAGGCATTCTGGGGCAGAGTGCTGCTGCCCCCAGGGCCTACCCCCCCCATGCTCCAGGGATGGAGAGGCAGGGCTGGGCCAGGCCACGCAGCACACCGTCCTCCGGGGCTGGGGAGGCTGGGACCACATGGCGTGCTCGCTGACCTCCTTCAGGGCTGGGGAGGCTGGGGCCATGCCGTGCGCCTTCCTCAGGGCTGAAGAGGCCGTGTCATGTGGAGTGCCCTCCTTCCTCCTTCCTCCCCTGGGGCTCCAGGAATGAAGAACCTGGGCAACTCTGGGGCTGGGTAGGCTGGGGCCCATGCCACATGTCTTCTGCCCTCCCCGGGGCTACGGAGGCTGGGGCGAGTGCACGCCTGTCTGCTTTCCTCCTCTCCTCATGGTTGGGAGGGGGAGCATGCACATGGTGCACTGCCCCACCTCCCCATGGGGGCAGGGAAGGGGCTGGGCCTCAGAAGAAGGAGTGAGGCTGGCAGTGGGGTTTGCCTCCCCCAGCCATGCCTTCACCAACTGCCCATGCTTAGAAGTGCATACATTTATACACTACCAAGTGAAATCCTGGCTCCCAAAATGCCAATGGCAAAACTGCCATTGACTTAAGTGAGGCCAGAATTTCACCTGTTGTATTGCAGCTTTCCATTGCTTCAGAAGATTAAGGACACCAACTTTGCAGTCAGATCCATCCATGCACACACTGTGAAGTAGGGATGTAGCTGATAAATGGATTAACCAATAAGCAAAAGCGTATAGGTTAATTCTATAAACTACATGTATCCCCCGCCCCGCCAGTAAATTTTTTAGCAGGTTGGCCAGCAGCCCAGCTCAGTCTTGCTTGCACCAGGTCTGGGACCTACCCCTGCTGCGGCTCTGCATTTAAAGTGTAGTAGAAGCCAGCCAGGCAGGCAGCCTGGCTCAGTTCCGACTTGTGCCGTGTCTGGGAGCTCAGCCCGCCTTGGACAAGGGCTGCTGCCACTCTGTGCTGCTGCCTCTCTACCAGAGGCAACAGCATGGGGTGACAGGCAGCCAGTCCATGAGAAGGGCTCATTTTTAAACTGGTTCTCCTTGTGGACCAGCTCCTGCTTGGCATCCTGCCCTACTACCTCAGATACAGAGGCAGCAGCATGGAGTGGCAGGGGGCTCCTCTGGAGTGGGGCTGAAGCACACCCCTAGGGACTATAGAATAGTCAAGTAACCAATAAGAATTCATAAGATTACTCGACTGTTCTATTAACTGGTATTTAATATCTCTACTGTGAAATCAGTGGGACTCTGTGCAAGCACAAGGGGCAGGCACAAGGCAGGTTTGGGGACTACTAAACTAGTGATATATCCTTTGCTGTTGCATTGTGTTGAAAGCCACAGGTTTGTTTCATATTATTATTGCTAAATCAGGAACCAGGGCCCAGTTGGGCTGGGTGTTGTACAAACAGTAAGTAACGAGAGAGTCACTGCCCCAGAGATATTACAACCTGGATTTATGACAAGATGTGTGCATTCATAGCCCACCATTCACTGGCCATTATTATTTTGTATGGCCACTCACAGCATTATGAATTCAGCTTTGACTGATGTGAATGTCTACCGAGAAGTAACGCCTAACGATAGAGGTAGCAAAAAAGTCCCCTCCTGAGTTTATTTTAATTTTAATAATTGGAAATAATGTCAGAAGAAGAAAACAAAATCAGACATAAATTGATCATTTTGGAGTGGGAGTGATCAGAGTCAGAAAATAATACATTCTAGCAGCATATTAAAGCCCTTATTCAGCATGGTATTATAAGCACAGGCCTAACTGTCCCATTGATGGAACTATTAATGTGCTTAAAGCTAGGTATGTGCGTGAATAACTTTCTGGATTGGGATCTAACTTCTTAATTTGCATACTTCAGAGTACCGTTTAATTATTTTTGAGAAACAAGGTTAAGAATGTAAGGAATGAGAATTTTTATTATTTTCTACAAATTGTAGTGTTTTAATGAAATGTTCTGTTTCCCATATTCAAGTTTTAATGTAGTTTTCTTTACACTTTTAGGCTTGATGATGAAAGCAAAAAAAAAAAATGAAATGCTGATATTATTTAATTTCTACCTCACGCTCAGACAGCTCCAATTCAATGTACAATCAGTGTCTTTCAAGCACAGTAAGAAGAGACACAAATACAGCATGAAACAAAATATTTCTTGATTCATACCTTAAGCATGGTGCCATTTCTCCAGAGATCTGAGGGAGAGGGTCTCTAAGCAAAGTTTTTACAGTCATGCAGACTGATTCGGACAATGACTTCAAATGGTATCCGCCCTAGGAAAATTAAACCATGGTCTGTGTCTTGCAAAGAACACTTACATATTAATCTATCTGTAAAAGCATTGTTATTTTATGAACATGCTTGGAGAAAGCGTATTTTTCACATAATAATATTCAGCATCCACCTTTTGAAATATGTCTGGATGTTAGCTAAATGGCCTATTTGAAATCATGGGAAGGTGGCCACGTTCTAAAAGCCCCTCCCCAACCTTATGGGAGGGACACTGAACCCATGTTCAACTGAATCCGGGGGACAAAAAATGACAACAGGGTCAAGGAGTGCGGGTCACAGGTTTAAAATAAGGGAGCCGGATGGGGACACCGAGCAGAGAACCCCGGACAGCGCCCACTGCTCCTCAAAGCTGTCGATGGAGCCAGTGGACGCCGCCCAGAGGAACTCTGCCCGGATTCGTGACACGAGGGAGGAGCGGAAATAGGCCCCACAGTCGCAGAGAACCCCCTCGTCTAGCATCCTCCTCCTGCTGTTGTAGATGGCAACTTTCGCCAAGGCCAGGAGGAGGTTGACGAGGAGGTCTCGCGACTTTGTGGGGCCACGGATTGGGTGTGCATAAATAAAAAGGTGAGGGGAAAAGTGCAGCCAGAACCTCAATAAGAGGTTCTGGAGGAGCCGGAATAGGGGCTGCAACCTGGCGCATTCAAGGTAGGCGTGCGCCAGGTTCTCCCTCACGCCGCAAAAGGGGCAGGTGTCTGGGATTGGGGTGAACCGTGCCAAGTACACGCCCGTGCTCAGGGCCCCGTGAAGGAGCCGCCAACTGATGTCCCCGACGGGCCGCGGAATTAAGGTGGAATAAACGCTGGCCCATCGGGGTTCCCCACCCTCTATAGGTCTGAGATAGTCCCGCCACTTTGTATCGGGGCGGGACACGAGGGTGGGGAAATGCAAAGCGTGGAGCACGAGCGTGTGGAAAGTGGGATCTAATGGATACTGCCATGGAAATAGTCAGCTACAGATTCTGTTTAAATCTAAAAACACATAGTCAGAAGTAACTTGTTAAAATACATCATTGCAAAATGATACCACGGAGCATAACATGGTTTGGATGCATTACTGGAAATCCTCCCCATCTCTCCTCCCCTCCCCCAATGGGGAACTGGGAGTGAGATTCTGCAAGGATACATCTACACTACAATTAAAACTCTATGTTTGGCCCTTGCCTTGGGCTTATGGGGCTCAGGATAAAAGGCAGTTTAAATGCAGTGTAGATGTTTGAGCCCACACTGCAGCCTCAGTTTTGGGATCCTTCCAGATTGCATGGTCCAAGGACTTCAGTCTGTCTATACCACAGTTAGACAGCCCCTTAACAACTCCAAGTTAGTTGACATGGGTCAGCCATGTGTGTCTAATTACGTAGACATAGCTTAAGGGATACAGCACAGAACTCTGCCTACGAGGCAGTCCCTCTGGTTCTGGGCTGCACTAGAGGTTGGCGAGTCCCCAGAATAATTTAGACAGCTCTGGGGCCCTATCTAAGCAGCTGAAGTCTCTCTGGGCTGCCATATGGGTCACAGCCCAGCCCATACCAGCCCAGCCCTAAATTTCTGCAACAATAAATGCTGCAGCACTAGCCCACAAAACACCCCCCTGCTTCCACACCTGACTGGCCTTATTTACCAGGGCTCATGAGAGGGTCCTTGAAGGCAGCATTATGAGTCTTCCACAGTGCTTTCACAAGGCAATTCTTCTCCCAGATGGAAGAAGGAATTTTAGGGTTCCTTCATCTTCTCTGGCTCTCTTACCCAACATAAAAGGGTCAGGCATGCTATTAAGATCTCACCCTTGAAGCCTTGTGTCTATTAAACTCATTTTCATCTGCAAATATCTCTTTTGATATACACTTAGGCTATGTCTATGCAGCAGCATTATTTTGAATAACATCAGTTATTCTGAAATAACAGTCTGCATCTACTCTACAAGAAGTTATTTCGACATAATATAGAAATAATGTTGAACTGGAGGACTTCTTACTTCGACTCCCGTAACTCTTGTTTTATGAGGAGTAAGGGAAGTTGGAGACAGCATGCTCTAACTCGGACTTCCTGCTGTGTAGACAGCACCAAAAATCAAAGTAAGCCATGTTGACTTAAGCTACGCAATTGACACACCTCAAGTTGCGTAGCTTATTTTGGCTTTAGTTCTGCTGTGTAGACATGCCCTTAGTGCTAAAAAGTTGCAACACTTATACTAACTGTCTGGAGACTAAAATAGTCTGGAGACTAAAATCCACTATTCCTCCATTGAGAGTCAATTAATAGTAAAAGATAAATGTACAGTAATTATGGGTTTCAAGAGCCTTTTCCAGGTATTTTAATTTTCATGCCCTTTCAGTTCTTGGCCTTTCTGCTAAGACTAGCGGATCATAACTAGGGCCAGGGACTATCACAAATAGCATTTGTTAAAATTAGGAAATGTGGTTGGCCTGCGGATTTAGCAGTGACCTTCATTGGTGAGATACTTGAGTTGCAGTTGGCAGACTACTTCCAGTAGCTTGTTTATGGAGCTGCCCATGGCATTAGCCTCAGAGGACAATGCTTGCTTCTGTCTTAGCTAGAAGGAGGGGGCTGCAACTGTAACTTTGTAACAAGCAGAGGAGAGGAGTTTAAAGTGAGTACATGGAGAATACTAGGTGAGCAATGGGTTCATCTTAAGAAAGAAATCCTGCTTGGATGCCTTGAATGAGCAGTAACATCTCTGCAAACTCAATGTGCTCACAAGAGCCACCAGTAATCTGGAATACTGGAGAGAGAGTGAGTGTGAAGGCTGCACAGTGAAATACTTTGAAAGACAAAACATTTTCAAAGTTAAAAAGAAAGCTTCCAGTGGCAGTAGGTAGGGCACGTAGAGGTTTTTTAATAAATACATTGAGAAATCAATAAGGTTTCCACTCCTGAATAAATATGTACCTAGGCTGAAATCTTTAAAAGCTCTACTGGAGCAAAGGTTATTACTTACAAAAATGTCCGAAATTCAGTCTTGTTCTGAATGGATCTGATATGATTTGGAGTAGCTCTTCACTGGCTGTGCACAAGCACTATAAACCCATATTGAGAGCTATATTTTTTTTATCAAAATATAAAGTTGTCATATAAATTCTCTCTTCCTTAAAAACATAGACTGCAAAATATCAGTTTAAAAATCATGCAGTTCTCCTAAACCAGAGGTGGGCAATAATTTTTAATGGGGGTGGGGCACTCCAAGATTTTGGTAAGTGGTCAAGGGCTGCATTTCTGTAGAGGGGTGCAGGGTCTGATTGGTGGGAGGGGTGCTGAGAGGATCTTGGGATAGAGGACTGGCATGCAGGAGGGAGTGTGGGGTCAGAGGGAGTTTGGATGAAGGAGGAGGTTATGATCTGGGGCAGGGGTTTGGGGTGCAGGGTCCAGGAGGGGATATGGTTGCAGGAGAGGCTTCTGGCCTGGGGGAGGGGGTGCAGGGTCAGGGAGGGAGTTATGATCTGAGAGAAAGGGGGTGCAGCAGGTTTGAGTGGTGACATGGGGCAGGAGAATGGGGTACAGGATCAGGGAGGGGGTATGGGTACAGGAAAGGATTTTGGCCTGGGAGAGGGGTGTACAAGGGGGTGCAGAGTCCGAGAGACAGTTGTGACCTGGAGGAGGTGGGGAGAGGGGATACAGAGCGTTTGGGTGGTAGCCTGGGACAGGTAGTTAGGAGGACAGAGGGGGTGGAATGCCAGAAGCAGGCTCTGGCTGGGAGGTACTTACTTAGGCAGCTCCCAGCCAGCAGCTTTGTCTGAACCTGAGACAGGCTCTCTGCCTGTGTGCGTGGGAGGGGGAGGAGGCGCTGCTCCAGGTGGCTCTGCTCCAGCACAGGGAGGGAGGGAGGAAAGAGGCTTCATTTGCTGCTCCTGCCTTCAGCAAAATTTCTTAGCTCCTATTGACCGGAAACTGGCCAATGGGAGCTTGGAGATTTTGCTAGGAGGACAGCACACAAAGCTTTCTCCTTCCTGCCCAGCTTGCAGAGTAATTAGCAGCCATCGTCTGTAGTAAGGGTGCCAGCAAGGCAGACGCAGGCCAGATCTGGTAGTCTGGATCCAGCCTGTTAGCTGCCTCTTGCGCACCCCTGTCCTAAACAACACAAGAGCAGTGTAAAATCTTAACCATTCTTGCATTCCTGGTTCTCAAAAAAAAAAAAGTGCCTCACATTCAAGTAAAGATTCAAGTAAAGATTCACCCAGATTATTTCTAGGTGCAGGCTAGAGGTGTGAGACTCTTCTACAGAGACCCTTCCCTCCAAAAATATACAATAAATGAGACACTTAAAACTTTACCTCTAGAACTGCACATAACCTTCCGTTAGCTAACTGCATTAGGAAATGTGTAAGGTGGGCAAAACACTCCGGAGTAGCAGTCATCTGACCCTGAAACCAGGAAAATGTTAGAAAGAAATAGAAACTCTGGACAACATAGCTGGTAACATAAGAACTGCTAATATGGGTCATCCCCTATCCATGTAGTGCAGTGTCCTATTTCCTGCAGGGACCAGCACCAAATATTTAGACAAATATGCAACATGTGGGAAAATCTATATCTCCGCTAACCCACCCATAAACATCTCAGCCAGATCCCTAGGAAGTTCAAGATTAGTTTAAAGCCTGAAATATGAGGATTACGTTTGGTCAAAGTGAAATCTAACTATCAGTAGCTAAACAATTATGACATTTTACATATAAATGTACTTTAAAAATAAAATTACAGGAAAGAGAGAACGTGAAAAATCCTGTAAAATTGCTTACCTCAGGGTCACCAATTCCTGAATCATATCCAGAAGATACCAGAATAAGTTCTGGAGCAAACTGTGAAAAAACAAAGATATATTCATATGGAATTTTTGCAATCCATGGGCTCAGTCCGGCCAACTGGACTGCACACATGAATAAAGACTGCATGACTCGGGTCTTTGTATTGTTTTCCTTTCAGTCTTTTACACTGAATATATTAAAAAACCCACCTCAGTCATGTCAATATTTCACTATTCAGGCATCAATCACTCAGACACTCCTCTCAGTGAACAATGGAACAACTGCATTTCAAATGCTTACAGCATTCCAATACTTACACGTCTTTATAAAAACACCACTTTAAAAAATATAGAAAGGATAACAGGATGATTATTATTTTGATTAAAAAATCAAAACAAAAACTTTACCTCAAAAGCCACTGGAAGCAACACATGGAAAAATGCAGCTAGATAATCTGAATTTCCCATTCCAACCTGGAAAAAACAATGTAGGAGATATGAAGCAACTCTCTTTTTCTGATAAAGTAATGTGTTTTCTTTCTAGGGGCCAGATCAACAAAAGGTTTTATGTGTTGTGACCCTAAGCAGGTCTGTCTTCACACCCTGCACATTATTGTAATAATTTTTTTGTACAAAATATAGTTTCTGAAGTATCATTTGAAAATGAATTACTCACTGAGCATTTATATTCTTTTGATGTATATATGCAGTGTCTATTAAGATGTATGGATATATAGTAAAATGATGACAAAACTGTGTTGAAACCAGGCATGTTGGAGAAGTTGGTAAACAGGCATGACATACACAAAGGAATGTGTATTTCATTCTCTGACCAAGCCAATCTTCATGTAAAGACAATGACAATCAAATTTTAAACATTGGTAACAAAGCTAGTAAGCTAACAAGATCATGGAGCTTCCATCCTCACCAGATTACGTCACTTTCCTCACAGCTTGAATAAACTTTACTATGAGGAATACCCTCAAAAGAATCCATATCTGTGTTCTATACACAGGGTGGCTGAACCTCAAGAGCTAAGCAACTGAATCAGGACTGTATACAATATTACAGTAATTTAAAACTGCACTGTGGTCTTTTCTGGCAGCTAAAGACACTCTGGTGACTAATAGCTTTGTAATATTTAGGTATTAACAGCACATGAGGAAATATGGATACTAAATGATACTCTGCTTTAAAATTTGTGGCCAAACAAGGAGAAACAAGCTCCCTCCCAGACAAGTTAGTGGGTTACGTACAAGATAGGGACTGTAGGTTTGTTCTTAAGTTGAATTTGTATGTAAGTTGGACCTGGTACATATTGTAGGGGAAACTCTAGCCAAACATTTCTCCAGAGCTCAGTTTTATTCTCCCACACCTCACATCCCTCAGTCCTTTATTCTCAAGATGAGGTGTCTGCTGAGAAAAACCGCTCCGCGTCTCCCTGGTCTGCTGGAGGGGGCGCTAGCTTCGCATCTCCCTGGTCGTCTGGGGGGAAACAGCTAGTGCGGGGTTGCCTCACCCCGTTTGTAAGTTGGGATCCGATGTAAGTCGGATCCATGTAACCCGGGGACTGCCTGTATTTACCTGTCTCCTATAAACTAAGTTTAGTGGAATGAAAACAATGGAAGTCCATTTACATGCAGGGGAATAGGAAGCTCATTACAAGGGAAGAAGAGCATGAGATCATCCTGCCTCTGGAAACAAAGTCATAGAACTTTGGAAGTTACAGGCAGTCCCCAGGTTACGTACAAGATAGGGACTGTAGGTTTGTTCTTAAGTTGAATCTATATGTAAGTCGGAACTGGCGTCCAGATTCAGCCGGTCCCCAGCAGACCAGAGGCACTGGGAGCAAAGCGGCAGCGGCGGCGGAGTCCCGCGCCTCCCCGGCTTTGCCAGAGCGAAGCCTCAGAGGCGCGGGACCCCTCGCCTCCCCGGCTTTGCTCCAGGTGTCCCTGGTCTGCTGGAGACGGTCCCCAGCAGACCAGAGGCACCGGGAGCAAAGC